CCGTCCTGCGAAGATTTGTGTGGAATCGCTCTTGAGATTGTGTAGCCTAGGATCGCTCTCAGCCTCAAGATTCAACCCCTTTGCTCTCAAAACCTTGAACTTGGGTTTAGAATGTTCAACGGTCAACCATAATGTGAGGCATGTGTGGCCAGATTCGAAGCAACCCTCGAACTAAAGGCAAGAAAGTCAGATCAAGAAGGTCAGACGCCGTCAAAAGAAGCTTGCAAAGCTAGATCAAAAGCACGCCTCAAACTAGGGGCAAACAATATCAGACGTGCTCGAAGAGCCGAAGACGGATCATTTTGCAAATCAATGAAGACTAGCAAGAATGCCAAATCCCAAAAGGGAGGAAAGAAGAAAGTTTGTGCTGAAGGACAACTGAGTTCCTATCCACAACACTTGGGGCGAATTCAGCTCCCATTGGATGGACTCCTACATTATCAGTGAACATCAGCCATTCCCCTGGATTTAGATGACTTTAGGATCTCAAAATCATTTGACATGGACAAAGCTACACTTTTACCCTTGAGAGGCTCACTGGGCTAAAACCCCGGAAGGGTGACCCAGGCAAAAGTTAGAGCAAGAAAAAAAGAAAAGAGAAAAAAAAAAATACAAAGAATGAAAAAGAAGAGATGAAAAAACATGAAAAGAATTGAAAAGAAAAGAAAAACATAGCTCGCAAGGTTGAAAACCTAGAAGGGCGGCCTTGGCAAAAGTTAGAGCGTAAAAGGTGAGGGTTAATACACGAGTGTACCTTGCCCCGAACTACGTAAGGAGTTATGAGATTGTTGATTGATTGCAGCACTATTATGAGTTGGATTAATGTTAATTATTTCGGAGCGTTACAAAATGAAAAGGAAAAAGTGTGTAAAATGTTGGAAAATTTGGTGTGTGCATAGTGTGTATGTGAAACTTGTTGTCAGGACATTCTTAACTTCATCTTTTCTTTTTGGACAAATTACATTGATAGTCCTTGTGTTTTGATTTTTGTATTATTTTGATCCCTGTAAGTCTAATTGACTCGATTTTGACCATGAATTTATGATTTTGTTTCAATTTAATCCAATTGCTTACAATTGTTAGAATTTTTTTAATGAAAAATGTGTATACAAGTGTCATTGTGGTTAATCTTTTTGTTTTCATTGCAAATCATATATAATTATTTTAATTTAGTATAATTTTCTTCACTTAAATTTTGAAGTTGCTATGTGGTTCGGGATTATAAATTGGTTTGGTCACTTTGTATCCTTAGAATACATGTTAAACATACTTAAAGATATATGTATTTTATTTTATTTTTTAGAATATTTACCAATAAATCCTATCTCACAAATTCTTTAACCAATCAGTCTCAACTTTATACTTTTGTTCCATTTAGTCCTGCTAGTAGGGAGATTTGTACCCATGTGATCTTATTTTCCATGTTCACTACCAGAATGCCCTAAAGTTATGTTGGCCCACCACCAATCAACAACCAAACAACAAAACACACAGCACCACAATCACACACCCACATCTCCACCCCATTCAAAAAAGGCATACACAAACATACCATCCCAACCCAAACACAATACGCATAAAAGGCCCTACCCCACACCAGAACATCATTGCCAAACACAACCACATTGCCCCACCACACACCCAACACCCACACACCTCCATACCACAATTACAATGCAAAACAATCACTACAAAACAAGACCCACCACCACAACTACATGAATGAAAATAAATATGACTGAAAGCACGGGTAATCGGAACAAAATTAACAAATAACCAAGTACCACATTATCACACACCCATTACAAAACTAGGTTACGTGACATACCCTTTCCGATACATTCAACGATTTACAATGTCACACCAATTCTGGCCCAAGGTAACACAACACCATACAATCCGCTCTAATCAACCTTCACTATTGCTCCTACCTCCCCTCCCGAATCACGCAACAAATCTTACGAAATCACAAAATTAGAGTTTCTGCGAAATATCCAATCACAATAGGTGTGAGAATGGGAATGGACAAATCGGGTTACCATTTCACGTATGTGGGAATGCGGATGTTGAAATCGGGTTGTGTTTGGCGTGTATAGATTAGCAGACTTTGTGATGTGTGGCACCCACCAAATTCACACTTTGAATACAAAACCTCGTAGTATGCTTTACTGTTGTGTGACACTCCAATATGTGTCACGTGACACAAGTCAAATAACTTCCAGCATCTTACACCCAGTATGTCCCACGCGCCTACACCTCATTCACCCACATACAGCTGTGATGCATACATTAATAAGTGCGTTGATGGAAAATACATCCTTTCACAAACTATAGAACCAAATGGAACATTAGAAAAAAAAAAAAAAAAAAAAAAAATGGGACCAACTGGATTATAAGATCAACTTTTGGGATTTATTTGTAAATCTCTATATATTTTTTTTTTATTACACTTTCTTATAAAATACAATATTCTTTTAAATTTCCAAACATGTGCACCGTAAGGGCACATTTTAACAAACTCCTTCAAAATTTAATTGCCTTCCCTCCAACAGGTGTTTACCTGTTTGGTTGTGTTTTTATTTATTTATTTATTGTTCTTTTTTGGTTGTGTTTTCATATTCTACTTTTTTTGTTTTTTTGGAAGACACATGAAAATTTGTTTCGTGAATTGCTTTCAAAAAATATTTTTGGTTAAAAATTTCGAAAACAAACCCACTTTTTGGGAAACATTATAAAATTGTTTTCAAATGTTCAATTTTTGTTTTTTGCATGAAAATGAATACGATATGAAACGATGGCTGTTTTCTAACTCATTATTAATTTTGTTTTTGAAAGAAAGAAAAATGAAAACAAAACCAAAAACAAATACATACAGTTTCATGCCAATAGTGCCACAATGCGTCAAAATAACCACATATTAATAAAGAATTGATAGTGCCATCAAGATTCCATATGGAATTGGATTTATTACATTATTTGTTGCAGTATTGTTTGTTAAAATAAAAAAAATAAAAAATAAAAAATTAATGAACTAATGGTTCATGATGTTGATACCACTAGGATTGAAACAGTAAATAAAATTCAAATTTTCTATGCCAACATTCTAATGTGAAAAATTTGAAATTTATTTACTGAAACAAACGGGCCTTTAACCCCTCCATCCTAATCCTCTCCCACCTATTTAACTCCAAAACAAACGGGCCTTTAAAATTTTCTTGTCCACTAAATTTTGTTGGCTTTTTTGGCTTTGTGATTCAGGTTATTTATCCCGTATTAATCTTACATACATTTTCCTTATTTTCCAAACAATTACTTACTATAAAAATTTAATTCATTTGACTAACAGTTGAGAATAAATGTCAAAAAAGAGAAAGATCAAAGCATATTTGTTCGATTCTTCTCTTGGAAGAAATTTTATGTTGACATGACTGCAAGAAAAAAAAAATACTTTGGCAATGCCCATCAACCTGAATTGTTTCTCAATCAAATGTTGTATGGAGAATGAATTTACTTGTGTAGAAGAAATGTACGAAACTGGATTTAATGTATTTGATTTTGTATCTGATTTTTGATTTTTATTTTTTTGAAGACAGTTAAGTACAAGCTCGTGAGGATGACACTAGTCTGTAAGGGTTGCACATTTAAGACAAAGTAAGGATCACTAAAATGTTGAAACTATTTACATTAATATTTTAGATAATCCATGTTGAAACTACTAATAATAGTCACATATTCCACATTTGATTTTCTAATTTTCTTGAAGATACTGATTCCCATTGTAAGAAATATTTGTTGTTTTGAGTATGGAAGATAGGAAAATTTCATAATAGATTACTATGTAGCAAGAAAATAAGAAATTAAAAGAAAAATAAATATATTAAAAAGAAAAAAAATAAAAAGAAGCAAAAGGGTAAAGAAGGAAAAAAAATATGGGAATGTAGACTTCAACAAAAGGGTAAAGAAGGAAAAAAAAGATGGGAATGTAGACTTCAACAATTTCTATTTGCACATCCATATTTCCCTCTTTACACACACTTAATAAAATTATTTTTATTATAATTTTATTTTCAGGTGAAATTACTATTATGGATATTAAATAAACGCATTCGGAAGTTGAATGTCGAAAAAATAAAAAAAATTCGGAACTCTACTTCCGAACAAGTTATTTATTTTGGAAATTCTACTTCCGAACCAATTGTTTATTTTTGAAAATCTAATTTCGAACCAATTATTTATTGAAAAAGATGTGTAAAGAGGGGAATGAGTGTGTGCAAATAGAAACTCCCCAAAAAGATGTAACTTCAATTAATTGTGAAAAAAAAAAGAAAGATAAATCATACTGACAAATATATGTGCTCAAAAGTCATGAAAAAACTTACGAAAGATTAAGAAAATAGTTACCAGTGTGTTTGTTTGGGTTTTTTTGAATCAACTTATAATTTTTAACTTTTGAAAAGTTATTTTGGACTATTTGATTAAACTTATTTTAAACAGTTTCTTATTTTAACAACTTATTTTAACTCAAAAAAGTTGAGTCTGAGAAACTGTCTAGTCCTTACTTTTGATTATCAGTTTCTGTTGTGGACATGTTAATTTACGGTTATACTCTTAAATTTTTTTACTTTTTATTTTTTTTTAAAGGAAAAAGACCTAAATGGACTATAGATTATTATTATTTATGAGAAATGTAGACAAGTAATGAATAATAAAAAATAAAAGTTAATTAAAAAAACTACTCCACAGCTTATTTAACAAACACTACTCAGCAACTTAAATTTATAATCCAACAGCTACACTAAACAAATTAATAACTTCTGATTAAATTCATAATTTATAATCTATTAAGGTATAATTTATAATATGTTTTAACAGTTACACTAAACGGGATCATTGTTTCTCTTTTCACTCCTATCACCCTTGATTTAAAGGGACCAACACGTCTAATGTTTTTTTAACCTTTCCTATTTTTCTCTCAAACTATTCTTGCAGAGTTTTCGAGGATATATGCTTGCAGAGTTACGTACAAAAATATTCTCAAGTTCTAAAATAGTACCTTAAAAACTTCTCAAGTTCTAAGGTTTCTGAATTATCGCCTTTGGAAGTTAAGAAACTTGATGCCATAGGAAAAGACGAAGAAGAAGAGAATGACCCAACCAACATGAACCGCAGCTACAACTCCAAGGAAATTATAATCATAGCCCAAGAACTTCTCAAGGTAAGCCTTCACGGTGATAGAATCTTCACCTGGTATTTCAACTTTATCCATGTTCTTGCCCATCTGAGACGTCACGAGGCCATAGATACTCCACGCCACAGGTGAAGCCCAGTAGTACCACCTCCACCATATTGGGATTTGCTGCAAATGTAAAAGCATTAGGCACATTTATATATATTTTTTTCGATGAATAAACATGTAAAAGTACTTTATTAAATTTAAAGGCCATTTCAAAACCTCTGGAATAATTGAAAAAATTAATTTAAATGACCCCCCTATGATTTAGACAAGTGCTATTCTTATACTTAATGATTTTTCCAAATCACTCATTTCTTTATTTATTTATTTTTTTTTTCCTTCTATTTTTGTATGAATTAATTTTTTAGAATTATGTGACAAGTCAAGATTAAAATAGTTACAATAATGAGGATTTCCATAGTCTCAACATTTCGAAGCATGGTTAATTCTTTTAACAAAATATTTGACCAAATGATTGTAGCCGGTACCAAATTTCAAACATTTAGGATATCAATTACCAGAATGAGATGAATTTAAAATTGTATCAATAATCTCATTAAATGTAATTGTCAAAAGATTGCAGAATTTATCCACATATGTGCATCATACTACTCATTTTCAAAAAAATAAATAAATAATTAGAATATAGTTTCATGCATTTTTTGTTTGGATGTACTTACCGTCCTGGCAATCATGAATCCAGAGAACAGATTCCAGAAGTTCATAAAGAAGGTCATGCAGATGGCAGCAATTTGGTAACTTGGAGTGAGTGCTACGAGCATCATCCCGTATAATGTGAAGTAGACAAAGCACATCATTACATAGAAGTAAAACCACAAGAATTTGCCGGCTTGCCAATGGAATCCAATCATTGAGTAAATGATAAGACTATAAATGAAAGTTTGGATTGCAACATAGATGGTCTCTATTGCCACATGAGCCAATGCATAAGGCATTTCTGAATACATCCCCGCTGCTCTTTCACGATAGAACGCTGCTCTTTCGATTGCCACGATAGTCTGCACTCCTGAAGTATTTGTTCCTCCGAGAAACATGACAGCAACATACATAGCTCCGAGTAGATTCGTAAGGTCTTGTTGTTTGTGCCTATTGAAACAACGGTTTGTTGTAAAGCAAAAATTACAATTAAAAAGCATAGACGTAGTTTTTGTGATTGTGAATATTGTTCAAGACAAATGGCGATGTGACTTACGTTTGTTCTCCTTTTTTCCAGAAAATAAATCCAAATATAATACCGATAGCGGTTGTCATGAGAAAGCGAGTGGCATTGTATTGTGGATTCCTCCAGTAGGACCAATGCTGTTTCCAGAAGCAAGCCTTGCATTGAGTAATGAATGGTTGTGAGTATTTAGTAGGAAAATATAGGTCCTGGGACCCTGGTGCTGGCATGCTCAGATTTTTTATGAGTTCCTGATTCCTCCTGAGAGTGAGAGAGAGAGAGAGAGTAGTTTTAGTATAAAGGGGGCACAAAAGGAGGGACTATTAAGGTTAGATTGTTATATTCTACGTACTGATACAAATCAGATTTGGCAAAGATTTCTGCAAAATCCACACCAAGTTGCGCCTCAACTGAAGAAGCAGTGACCTCTAGCATCCATGTAGCAGGATTAACACCATCTTTAATTTTGGGTGCCCCGGGGATAGACTACAATATGTCACAGATATCAGTCACAAGGAAGATTATTGACAGTAATTTCATTATACAAATCAGGTCGTAAGACTTCGAGGCTACAAAGTCATTGATTGACTAATAAAATTAAGAGAGAGTTCTCTTTTTTATATTATCCTAGTTATCCTTGAGTTTATCGTTCATTCCATACACTTCCCAACATATAAAAAAAATTAAAAAATAGAGCTTACAAATGAGAAATAGAACTCACTTCAAAATACTCTACTAGCAAGTGAGAATTCCGACCAAGAGGCCCAGCATAAATGACTTGCCCTCCTCTCTTCATCAACAAGAGCTGCAGGAAAATAACAAATGTAGAGAAGTGTGGTGATTACAATTTACATCTGCAACCAATTGAAATTTTGATATGTTTGCTAATGGAAAATTCTTGAAAATTGAGAAAACCTCATCAAAAGATTCAAAAATGTCTATGCTTGGCTGATGAATGGTGCAAACAACAGTTCTGCCTGTGTCCACAGTGTTTCTCACAGTTCGCATCACAATTGCAGCAGCTCTAGCATCAAGGCCTGATGTTGGCTCATCCATGAAAATGATAGACGGATTGGCAACTAGCTCTACGGCTATGGTGAGCCTCTTTCTCTGTTCAGTTGAAAGACCATCTACTCCAGGAAGGCCAACAAGAAAATCCTTTATTAGGGTCAACTCAACTAACTCCATTACTTCCTCAACAAACATCTGAAGAACAAAATCATAAACACAATTAGTACTTGGCCGTTAAGTGAAACACAAATAGTTTATTAGAGAATCTCTAACCCTTCAATTTATTTTTATTTTTTTCGTCAACTTTGTTCCAAAAGATTGATTTGATATAGCTCCCTCCAATGATGAGAATCAAATTTTTCAACAAATTATTTTTTTTTAAATTCCTGCCATATCCCCAAAGCCTCATTTTAACCAATTCAAGCGAAGGAAAAAAAATCTCCAGTCTTTCATCTTTTAACATTAAACTTAAGTGAAAAAAGGGTTGTTGAAAATTCATACAAGATTTGATAAAATTTTTGGTGAAAACTTGATTTGATTCAAGTTCGATGAAATTATTGAATTTCGTTTTCACCAAAATTTTCATCAAATTTAAATATTAGAAGATGAATTTCAAAAAGGATAAAAACATATATACCTTTCGTGTTTCCTTATTTACATCCGGGGCTAGGCGCAACCAAGCAGAGTAAACAATGGATTCATAAACAGTAACATGTGGGGAATGGATATCAGTCTGTTCACAGTAACCGCTAACGCGAGCAAAAGTTGTTTGATTCTTTGGATAGCCGGAAATGCTGATACTTCCTTCAATGTAGCCTCCTGTTTTTCTTCCTGCAAGGACATCCATCAAGGTGGTCTTTCCAGCACCAGTCACACCAACCAATGCTGTTAGGATACCAGGCCTGAAAGCACCACTGGCATCTCGCAACAGTTGGAGACGAGTCTCTTCAATTCCCTTGCTCTTCATTTCCTGATCAACAAAATCATGCTCTTTGATGAACAACAATATTATCAAATTTATTGATTTTTTTTTTTTTTTTTTGATTTTTTTTTTTTTTTTTAATACCTTAGGTGATGATTCATTGAAAAATAGAAACATGTTAATCTAGTCACCAAGCTACAAAAAATTAGGCACAAATGACTTACAGAAGGCATATCGACATAGTAATTCACATGATCGAATGCAAGTGATAAAGGCGTGAAAGGAAGGACCATTCCTCTTCTCCCGGTTGCAACATCTTTGTCATTTAACTTGGTGTCTCTTGTATTCCTCACTACCATATTGATACCTAAAACCATTCAAGTTGCATCAGCAACAACTAAGGCTGCTTAACAATACCATGTAATTTTAAGGCTCTACACATGTAATCCAACAAACAATGAGAGAACAATTCTTCATGTCATGTACTTCAATTTTGCAGTGAATGAAGCACTAGGATTATGATTCATATACCTAGATACGTAACGTTTTGTTTGTTCTTGTTTTGGGAATGAATCACCTTGGTTTGACCAGTATGAAATTCTGAAATTATTTGCTATCAATCGTTGTTCAGGAAACATAATTATTAGCAGGTACGAATTCTCTTTTCATGGATGAAATTCACATGTTTTCTTGAATTTTATGATATGTTTGGATCTCGAATTTCAAATTTTCAAGAGATAAAAGGAGTTAATAATATCTAACCTTCAAAAGATGGGACTGCTGATTCTGAACTCCTATCTTTCTTAGAGAATAGACACTTCTTTTTCTTACTTTTATCATCCTCATCCACAACAAGTGATTTAGATTCAGCTAAAGCTGCATTTGAGTTTCCAAGAATAGTCAAAAACATAAGCAAATTCCATAATTGAAAGAGAGATCGGCACATAGTATTACTTACGATTCAAAAAGGTCAGTGCTGCTATAAAGCAGATATTGAAGAGCACAGAGAATCCAAAGAGTGCAGCGACACAAACCCAAAACATATATTCATCCACAAACATGCCCCTAGCCTTGAGAAGAACCTTTCCAACTGTATGCTCAAGAAATCTCGTGTCGTTATTTCGCTGTAAAAATAAATCATTAAGAATAATAAAATAGCATATCTTGAGCTAATCAAACAAAATTTGAACTAAAATAAAGAGGAAAGCAATTGATTATAAATGTAATTGCTAAGCTTACCATGCTCCATCTTTTATCGAGAAATTCATTCATTGATATGGCATTTTGTCCATATGTCATAGGAGATATATAATAGCCCCATATCATCCATGGTGGAAGGTCATCTACAAGTGTAGATAATAATGGTTGTTAAACAGTATCAAAAATAAGATATATCCTCGTGGCAAGTTCAATAATTTTCACCACATGTTGAACAATATTAATTGCATCAAATTATTAGTGTTCTACAAAATCAGTTTACTTCTACAAAGAAAAATATCAGTAATACTAACTTTTGGCAACAATGAATCCACCGAGGACAAAAACAATTAGCAACACGAAGGTACCCAAAGTGGTTGCAACAATCATTTTTCTTGCCAAGGCTGCAATGAAACGGAAGAGAGACAAGGCTGCCTGATGCACACCAAATAATACCAACAATTGGCGAAAAAACCTGAATTTACATTGACATTGGTCAGAAAAACACAAACAAAAAACTAAATCATGAGCTCTTTTGTAGCCTTGAAATCTAACATGATATAACTGCTACATGAAAAACTACTAATTTATGTTTCAAGAATGGAAGTGTGAGGGCATATATATACCTACTAGCAGCTGGAGCAAATCCGATAGTATAATATGTGAGAATGAGCCATATTCCTGTTTCCAAAGCTGAGACAGGGATACGAAGAAGCCAAATTGGTACAGCAAAAGCCCATGCTGGGAAAAACAAGGAATCTCTTTGTTTAAAGAATACAGGAAGCGACATGGTAGTCAAGGCGAGCTCAGTCATCCCATTAAACATCACGTTCATAAGACTGAAAAATAGTGCACCATAAAATTTACTTCCATCTTGTAGTTGACCCGATTTCATTTCTGTTCTAAAGAACACAGTGAAAGCAATTATTGACATAATTGTGATCTGGGTAGTCTTGAATATGTATAGGAAAGAGTTGCGTTTCATCAACAACCATTCCCTCGCCAAGCACGCCTTGAAGAGGTCTTTGCTGGAGATACCATACTTTTTGGTCACCAGTGCAGCAGGATGGGCTTTATTTTTGTCATAAGGAGTTCCAAGTTCATCATAAAGCTTTTGCCCAATGTCCAAAGAGTGAAAACGTTGCACGAATTCAGGTACTGAAATACACCGGTAAGGCTCATCTTTTTTGAACCAATACTGTTCTTGGTCCTTTTTAGAAGTAACTTCTTGGAGAAAGTCTGCAACTCCTTTTCTTTCTGGGCATTTGAATCCCACTCTCTCAAAGAAATCGAGAACATTCTCACATGGACCTTGGTAGACAATTTGACCCTCTGAAAGAAGAATGATGTCATCGAAAAGATCATAAGTTTCAGGTGCAGGTTGTAGAAGAGACACTATCATTGTTACATCCATGATATGAACCATCTGCCTCATGTATTTTGTAATTTGGAAAGCGGTTGAACTATCAAGACCGGTTGAGATTTCATCCATGAAAAACACTTTCGCTGGTCCAACCAACATTTCTCCTACATTTAGAAAGAGAAAGAAAAATCATATATAAATTTCTTTATACACACTTACTCTATCAACACATTTCAACAAGCAAACGGATCAAAAGAAAATAGCATAGCATCACTCCGTTTGTTTCAGCAGAAAACATTTTCTATCACTTTTCCTAGTGTTAGTGTATGATTGTAAATAGCTTTAGCACTTGTTAGTGTATGATTGTAAATAGCTTTAGCACTTTATCTTTTATGATGTAAATTCTTTATGCTTTCGGTGGGCATCCAATGCATCACATTCTCTCTATAAAGAGAGTGCATTCTCTTTGTAATACATACACACAATTACAGACAAACAACAATTCAGTGTCTCTCTCTCTCTCTCTATTCTCTCTCTCTATCAAACTATTGTTTCATGGTATCAGAGCCCAGGTATACAATTCTGGCATTTTTCAATTTTGGTGTTTAGTCCCGTATACGGTGGAACTACACCAAACAGCTCAGAATCTTCTTACGATTCCAACGGCACCACGCACGTCATCAGAAACCCCTTAACGCGCTCTCACGCGCCTCCTTTGTGATCGGCGCGTCACTTCTTCCGTCGCCACTCTCACACGCGCCTTCACGCGCCTTCAGGTCTGCTCCTTCGTGCGCCGCGCCTACTACCGTGCACCCACGTGCGCCATCCCTCTACCGTGAGCCGCGCCTGCGCGGTTCCACTATCGTGCACCCGCCTGCGCCATCCTGCTATTGTGAGCCGCGCCTGCGCATCCTCCTATTGTGAGCCGCGCGTGCACCAGTTTTGCTAACGTGCGCCGCTGACATCATCTTGCATTCTGCTGACATCATCTCTACACAGCACACCTTCCCTAGCTATTTTCGACCTTCCGGACTCATTGGTACACTCTGTTTTACCTAATTTTGCTCCTATAGGTCTATTCCTATTAATTTAGTCCGACTCAACTAGTATTATGGATCATCATGATGCCTCCCATCCCATTTCCGTTATTTTGAATGGTTCAAACTATGTTCTGTGGGCCCAAGCCATGTCCTCCTTCCTCAAAGGAAAGAAGCTCTGGCAAATTGTCACCGGGGATGTGACTAAACCGGTGAAAGACAGTGACACTAATGAAACTACTGCTCTTACTGCTACATATGAAGACCGACTTGAGGAATGGGACAGTAAGAATTACCAAATCATTACCTGGTTTCGTAATACCTCTGTTACCTCTATCAGTGTTCAGTTTGGTCGCTTTCAGCTTGACTCTGTAACTACTCCTGCAAAAAGACATCTGGGATTTTTTGAAAGAGCGATACCAGACTACTGGTCTTGCCCATCAATATCAACTTCAGAACCAACTTCACCGCATGCGCCAAGAATCCACTCAGTCCATTAATGACTTCCTTTCTCAAATGTACTCAGTTTGGGATCAGCTTGCTCTTTCAGAACCAACTTGGCATAACCAAGAAGATGCTGTTTTATTTACTATCTATCACAACCAGCAGAGGTTGGTGCACTTTCTCATGGCTCTTACTTCCTCTTTTGAGCCCGTACGTGCCTCTCTGCTTCATCGCCATCCATTGCCCACTCTTGAACAAGTAATTTATGAGTTGCTATCAGAGGAGACTCGTCTCGGTACTCTTCAAACTCATCATGTGGACTCTGTTCTTGCCACTCCTCCGTACCGGCCATCATTTACCCAGCGGACCACTGCTTGCCTCTATTGTCAGAATCGGGGCCTTCCTTCCACCCATCTCCTGGTTAATTGCCCCGTCAGATCCTGCCGCTACTGCAACAAACTTGGTCCTGGTCATCTGCAACATAATTGTTTTCGCAATCCATCCCGATCATCCTCCAATAGCCACTCCTCTCGCGGTGGCTCTTCCCGGGGAAGCTTTCATCGTTCCAGGAATCAGTCTCATCACACTGTTGCTGCTGCTTCTGGGAATCAGCCTCGTCACACTGATGCTGCTACCTCTGCGGGGTTCTCTGAGTCACCTGCTCCGTCTACCCCTCGCTTTTCTCCGACGGATGTAGAGGCCATGCTCAAACAACTTCTCTCCCCTTCTGGTACACCTCCTCCTACTGCTTTGTCTGTCACCCCAGGTAACTCTTCTTGGTATTTTGACTCTGCCTGTTGTAATCATATGACCTCCAGTTTTACTATCTTTTCTTCCTTCTCCTCCTCTCCTCATCTTCCCTCAATTCATACTGCTGATGGTTCCCTCATGTCTGTCCGTCATGTTGGTACTGTTTCCACTTCTTCTTTATCTATCCCTCAAGTTTATCATATCCCTGCTCTCACTTTAAATCTTATTTCCATTGGTCAATTATGTGAACTTGGTCTAACTGTCACATTTTCTGCTACTGATTGTTTGGTACAGGACCCTCAGACGGGGCAGACTATTGGGATCGGCCGTAAGCATGGACGTCTCTATGAACTCATTCACCTTCATGTTCCTTCCTCTACTCAGATTGCTGCTCCTACATCTACTTCCTCATTATCTTCCTTTCATCTTTGGCATTGTCGCTTAGGGCATATTTCTGTTAATCGCTTAAAGTCTTTGGTTTCTAGTGGACAGTTGGGTCATGTAATTCCCGATAATTTCGATTGTATACCCTGTCAACTTGCCAAACAACCTGCCTTATCATTTAATAAAAGTACTTCTGTTTCCCTTGCACCTTTTGATCTTATACATTCGGATATTTGGGGCCCCTCCCCTACTACTACTATGGGGGGATCCCGCTATTTTGTTGTTTTTATTGATAATTTTTCCCGGTTTACTTGGCTTTTTCTCATGAAAAATAGGTCTGAACTTAAACACATTTATTATAGATTTGCTCAAATGGTCCACCCAATTCTCCAAAGCCATCAAAATTTTTCGCTCTGACAATGCTATGGAATATCGGGATTCAGATTTCCTTTCCTTTCTTCAGCATCACGGTACACTGCCTCATCGTTCTTGTGCTGGCACGTCCCAGCAAAATGGCCGCGTTGAATGGAAACATAGGCATATTCTTGACACTACTCGCGCTCTCCTTCTATCTTCTTCCTGCCCCTGAAAACTTTGGGGGGAAGCTGCCTTCACTGCTGTTTACACTATCAACTGTGCTCCTACCCCTGTCATCCATAATCAAACTCCCTTTGAACGTCTGCATGGCACTCCCCCTCATTACGCCAATCTTCGGGTTTTTGGCTCTGCCTGCTTTGTTCTACTTCAATCCCATGAACACACCAAGCTTGAACCTCGTTCTCGTCTTTGTTGCTTTCTTGGGTATGGAATTGAACATAAAGGCTTTCGCTGTTGGGATCCTCTCTCTAAACGTCTTCGTATCTCCCGCCATGTCGTTTTCTGGGAGCACCAAATGTTTTCCTCGCTATCCTCCTTTCACTTACCCGCACTTTCCACTACTGTACTGTTTACTAATCCTTCCATAGATCTTTTCTCTACTGATTTTGATACAGGTTCCTCCTTCATCGAGACGCCCTTGCCCACTCCTGATCCCATCCAGCCTGCTCTCCCTGAAGGTCTACCTCTTATTGCCACACCTCCTTCTCCACCGGTTCTTCCTCCCACCGATCCTCCTACAGGTCGACCACGCCAGGTAACTCAACCTCCTATCCATCTTCGTGATTATATTGTTGGCTCTGCTGCCTTCTCTACTTATGAACCTACCTCCTATCGTGAGGCTTGTACTAATCCTCTTTGGCAGCAAGCTATGACTGATGAACTCCAGGCCTTGGACAAAGCTCATACTTGGGATCTTGTTGATCTTCCTCCTGGCAAGACTGCGATTGGCTGCAGATGGGTTTACAAAATCAAAACACATTCTGATGGCTCTATTGAACGCTACAAAGCTTGTCTTGTTGCCAAGGGTTTCAACCAGGAATATGGTATTGATTATGAGGAGACATTCTCTCCTGTTGCTCGGCTTACCTCTGTTCGCAGTTTACTTGCTGTTGCTGCTGCTCGCCACTAGGGGCTCTTTCAGATGGATGTCAAAAATGCTTTCCTCAATGGTCATCTTCTTGAGGAGGTCTACATGCAACCTCCACCTGGGTCCACTTTTCCACCTCATCAGGTTTTCAAACTACAGCGTGCTCCCTATGGCCTCAAGCAAGCACCTCGTGCTTGGTTTGCTAAGTTCAGTTCTACCATTCATGACTTCGGGTTCACCTCTAGCTCCTATGACTCTGCTCTTTTTATACGGACTACTTCTCATGGTACCACTCTTCGTCTTCTGTATGTGGATGATATGATTATCACTGGTAATGATGAAGCTGGCATTCTCCACCTCAAACAGTTTCTCCACCGACAGTTTGAGATGAAGGACCTTGGTACTCTTAACTACTTCTCAGGCCTTAAAGTCTCTCATGATTCTACTGGTTCCTATTTGTCCCAGGCCAAATATGCATCCGATCTTCTGGCTCGTGCTGGTCTTACTGATTGCAAAACTACATCTACTCCAGTTGATCCTCAGATTCGTCTCACTCCTCTCGATGGGACTCTTCTCTCTAATGCTACTCTTATTCGCCAGCTCGCGGCAGTCTTGTCTATCTCACAGTAACTCGTCCTGACATTGCCTATGCTGTTCACATTGTAGTCAGTACATGTCGGCTCCTCGCACTCCCACTATACTGCTCTACTCCGCATCCTTCGCTACCTAAAGGCACTCTGTTCCATGGTCTTCACTTCTCTGCTTCTCCTCTCTTGAACTGCGTGCCTTTTCCGAGCTGATTGGGCTGGGGATCCTACGGATCGACGCTCTACCACGGGATTCTGCTTCTTCTTAGGGGATTCTCTTCTTGCTTGGGTAGAAAAACAATCCTCACTACCGCTCTAGCACCGAAGCTGAATACCGAGCTCTTGCTGATACTACTCAGGAACTTCTCTGGCTTCGCTGGCTCCTCACTGATATGGGTGTTTCCTCTTCTGGCGCTACCCCTCTCTATTGTGACAATCAGAGTGCCATTCAGATTGCTCACAATGATGTTTTTCATGATCGCACCAAACATATTGAGATTGATTGTCATTTCATTCGCCAGCATGTTACCTGTGGTACTGTTCATCTTCTCCCTATTGCTTCAGTCGATCAACCCGCTGATATCTTCACTAAGGCTCATCCTCCTGGCTGCTTCAATGATCGTATTTCCAAACTCAACTTGGTTGATGCTTTCCCTCCTTGAGTTTGAGGGGGGATGTTAGTGTATGATTGTAAATAGCTTTAGCACTTGTTAGTGTATGATTGTAAATAGCTTTAGCACTTTATCTTTTATGATATAAATTCTTTATGCTTTCGGTGGGCATCCAATGCATCACATTCTCTCTATAAAGAGAGTGCATTCTCTTTGTAATACATACACACAATTACAGACAAACAACAATTCAGTCTCTCTCTCTCTATTCTCTCTCTCTATCAAACTATTGTTTCACCTAGTGTTTTTTGTATTTGGTTGCAGTTGATATTGTTAGATAGATTTATATACATTGTTGGGCTCATTTCCTAGCAACTTAATCTTTTGGGATAATTGGTGATCTATCGTGGTATTACAATTCAAGCTGACAGAGGTCTTGGGTCTAGGTTTCTCTGTTTGTATTGGATCCCTCTTTGCATTCTTTCTTCTTTCGTTTGTATTCTTTCTTCCATGTATGCATGGATGTTTGCATATTTGCGTGCAAGACAAGATTGCATATGAGGGAGGGTATTCAATAGCTTGATATGAATTGTTGGGCCTAATTCCTAACAGTTTGAGCTTTTAGGATAATTGGTGATCTAACAGGTATGACAAAAAATGAAAGTCAATAGAAAACGATTTCCATGGTAATGAGCTTATTTGTGCGATATCACCGTCATTGTCACTACCCTACTGCCATTTCTACCACTACTGCCACTCCACTACCACTGCCCTTACAACAATCACTACCAACACCATATGTTGCAACCAAAAATAAAAAATAAAAAATTGTAGAATGTGTTAGCTCCAACCACACATGCGTGCAGAGGAGAGAGCCCAGGCAAAGATGGCATAAGAAGACTTCCACTTCAAGAGAAGGAGGTCTGAGCTGGGCATCTCTCCCTTCTCTTCACGTTGTTGCCATTGTTGACACTCACCAATAAGAGAGTAGAAATTTTTGGTGGGTTGGTATCTCTCTCTCTCTCTCTGTATAAATAGAGACGGGAGGGAGAGGATGAATTGTATCAGAAATTTGAGAGACCTGTGAGTTTAGTGAGAAGAGTTGTTCTCCTCCTCTGTTTTGTTTTGCTCTGGTTTAGTGAAACTCTCATTTCTGTCCGTGGACGTAGGCATTGGGCCGAACCACGTAAATATTTGTGTCTCGTTTGTGTGAGCGATTGTTTGTTGTTTACTTTCTTGGTGTCCATGATCCTAACATAATGTTTTCCTTAAGACCATGTTTTCTGCCAAGACAAACCGATTTTTAATTTTGAATGAGAAGCTCTTTACATACTGTATAAATAGAGACGGGAGGGAGAGGATGAATTGTATCAGAAATTTGAGAGACCTGTGAGTTTAGTGAGAAGAGTTGTTCTCCTCCTCTGTTTTGTTTTGCTCTGGTTTAGTGAAACTCTCATTTCTGTCCGTGGACATAGGCATTGGGTCGAACCACGTAAATATTTGTGTCTCGTTTGTGTGAGCGATTGTTTGTTGTTTACTTTCTTGGTGTCCATGATCCTAACATAATGTTTTCCTTAAGACCATGTTTTCTGCCAAGACAAACCGATTTTTAATTTTGAATGAGAAGCTCTTTACATACCAGTTGTGAGTCGCTTCTTTTGTCCACCAGAAATACCCCTCCTCATCTCATCACCCACGAAAATATCAGCACAGATATCCAATCCAAGGATCTGTCACATAATGCCTCAAATTATTAGTCCCATTTCAAATATCAATTTTCTAAACAAAACATTTCGGTGCTATTCAAGAGGAGGAAACTAACCTTGATGACATAGTCTGTCACCAAACTAGATTCTTGGCCAGCCATGGCAATGGCTTTCATGAATGCATCGATTTCAGGGTCTGGTTTAATTCCTGCATTTTTTTCTCTCCTCGACAATTCTATAAGCAGTTCATATCTAGTTCCAACTCCCAAACAACGTCCTGCGAAATCCAATGTCTCTCTCACTGTCATCTCACCATAGTGAAGATCATGTTGGCTAATATACGCAGAGGTTCTCTGAGGAATAAACTCAAACATTTCATGACCACAATATGTTATCTTTCCTGTCGCCTGTTCACAGATGTTAAAGAAAAAGAAAAAGAAGAAAAAAATGAGATCCTGTTTGGAATTGTTTTCACTTTCAAAAAACTTATTTGGCGAATTGTTTCCAAAACAATTTTCTGAAATAATTTCTCAAAATAACTCACTTTTTAATAAACACTAAAAAAAGTGGATTTGAATTTTCAAAAATGGTTTTTGCAAAAAAAGAAAAACAAAATAAAATTGGAGTGATGCCTGTTTGAGAACTTTTCATAATTTTTGTTTGGGCTAATTAGGTTAATGGTCCTTCTAGTTTCCTTAAGTTTTAGCTTGGTCCTTGTACTTTGAATTTCGTTGATTTGGTCCTTATCTTTTTATGTTGTTCAACTTTGGTCCCTTTGCTTTATAATCTTTACCGTTTTAGTCACTTATATTCTTGCCTTTTAAGTTTTGTTATATTATAAAAGAAAAATGATTTAGACCTCTAAAAAGAGAGCTCTAATGGAGCACTAATTTATCTTTTTGTACTTTGAATTTCGTTGATTTGGTCCTTATCTTTTTATGTTGTTCAACTTTGGTCCCTTTGCTTTATAATCTTTACCGTTTTAGTCACTTATATTCTTGCCTTTTAAGTTTTGTTATATTATAAAAGAAAAATGATTTAGACCTCTAAAAAGAGAGCGCTAATGGAGCACTAATTTGTCTTTTTTCTTCCCATTTTTTGTCTTTTACTTCACTTTTTTTTTTTTTTAAGGTGGACAGCTCATTAGAGCTGCACTATAGCAGCTCTAATTAGAGCTCTACAGCGCTTCCGATTATAAAAAAACCTTTTTGTTTTTTATTTCATCACACACTTTTTTTTCATTTTTTTGGTGGTATTAATTCAAAAAGTTCCTTTGGAGAGTTCTCTTGTAAGGATAAAGACAATTATTTGTGATTTTTTTGGCTTACTTTCTACAATAGCTAATTGCTTACTTTCATGTAATAGTAGATGTTGAACTTTGTATATAATTTCTAATTGATTTTCTTTAAAGATTTTTGTTAAGTTCTTTTAATAATCTAATTATAATATTATTCTCTTCAATTATTATTCGTGATACAATATTATTATTTAAATTTTTTGATTCAACTTCTCCAATATATCTAATACTCATATATTAACATTAGTAAGACTGAGAAATAGGCTCTAATACCCATTCTAAACACATGCAATTTTATAGTGATTTTATAATTACACTAATATAGAAATTGGGCCTTATAGTAATTAATAGAACTTTTGAGTTTATAGTTTTATTCTATATTTCCTTCGAGGACTAAATTGATTTGGAATTAAATTTTGAGGGATTTAAGAGGCACAGTTAGAACTATAAAGATTAAAACATGGGTCAAACTTGAGGGCTATGGCTATAATTCAGTATTTTTGTTTTCAAAAACACAAAAAAACTGATGGAGAATTACATACCCTTAAATCCCTGTCCATCTTTCCAGCAAGTGCCTTGAGCAATGTGGTCTTTCCAGAGCCTGGAGGCCCCAGCAGTAATGTCATCCTGATAAAACAAAACTCATTTTTTACGAAACATCAAAAAAGAAAAAAAAAAAATCAAAACAGTTTTCCATATAAAAATGAAAACAGGTGTTTTCAAACCTTTTATTATTTTGTTTTCGGAAACAGCAAAAACAATCACGAACAAAACAGCAGCAATACCAAAGTACATAATTCACTTTTAAAAATATATATATATATATATATTTTCAAATGATTTTTAAGTTTTAAATCACTTTAAAATTTAATAGCGTCAATTTCATTTTCTACTCCTAAATTGTTGCCATCTACTTTTTCTTTTAATTGAGTTTACTAAGTCTTTAAAATATAAAAATTAAAATATTAGATATGCTGAAAAGCATATAACTTCTCATTATTGACAATAAAATTATATGCGTGCTAGATATATTGAAAAAGTATTATCAGATAATTTAAATAATAACAATTCATTATAAATAATAATAGAATAAAATAATATATTGATTAAGTTAATAAAAAAACTTAATGAAAAATTTAAGGGTAAACTACCAATAGGTCCTAATAGTTAGATTTGGGGTTATTTGGAATGTCCTAAATAAGTGTACTTTTTGACTTTTGGACTAAAAAGTAAAGGGAAAAAAAAAATAGCTGTTTGGGATAACTTTTTAACATTTTACGAAAAAATATATATTAAAATATTGTATAAAATAGCGAAATTATCATTTTACTCTCACTATAATGAATTGCCTGCTGACTTGGATAGTCTAGGAAGCCAGATGGTGGGCAACAAATAAGTATAGGAGCAGATTGCCTATGGTTTGAGATTAGATTGGACGATATTGTTCGGCCTGTGGGGGCCACCACGGGTCTCGTTTTGATAATCGAAACCATTCAATGTGTAGAACTCGTCGAGTATTATATGCCTGTAAAAAATCATGTTGGTTGGATATCAATAACTATCTGATCAGATGAGTTTTTTTTCAACCGTTAATTCTTCACCATCTATTCTTTTTTTTTTACAAAACTGATTTGATCATATAATTATCGATATCCGATCAACGTGATTTTTTACAGACATATAGTATTCAATGAGTTCTACACATTCAACGGTTCAGATTATCAAAACGGGACCCATGATGGGCCCTCAAGAGCCGAACAGCACCATCCTGTGTAAAATGTTTTGTGCACCTACGTGACCATCACTTACCATCACTTCAATACTGACAGTGGCTTGTACTTGGCCTACGTAAATGGGATTTTTTATATATATATTTTTTGGGGAATAGTGCTTTTTTTATTTTTTTTTAATAACTTTTTGGCTTTTTGTATTTTTTAGTATATGCCAAACCAGGCCTTAATTCCCATCAAATCCCATTGAAAATAAATCCTAATAAAATCATTGCTAAAAATAACTTTTTGTGACATTTTTTTTCATATGTTCCTAGCTAAAAATTAACAGTTATTGACTTTTTTTTGTCAGGATTTTTATAAATTGTCGCCAAAACTTACAATTATTTACTTTTTCTACAGCGAATTTTTCAAACTATCACTGAAAGTTAAAAATTAGTGACTTTTTTTGTGACGATTTTTTAAATTGTCGCTAAAACTTATAATTCATGAAATTTTTGTGACAATTTTCAAACTGTTGCTGAAAAATAAAATTTGTGATGTTTTTAAATAATTTTTAATGAAAAATGTCATTAATTATCATAAAATCTATTACATAATAAATTCACTTATTAAAATTTACACGTAAATCTCTCAAAATTTAAAGCAAATCAATTAAAAATTACAAACATACCTCGATGGCTTCACAATTCCGCTCACATCTTGGAGTATCTTGATAACCCTTTTCTTAGATGGTAGAAGCTTTATTAATCCAAGAAGGTCCTATTAACAACACCAAATCAAATAACAAATAGAAGTCATTTAGGTAATGGCATCAATCCCCTGCCTTCCAGAGAGTTGTAAACCAGCCTAGTCAAGCAATCAGTAAATTGTTCAAATTTAAGTTTGAAAACTTAATTGGTTCAAAAAATATATTCATACTTGGTTTATTCACCTTTCAAACCAATCTCAATCAGATTCCAATAGAGCTATACTCAAGCAATTTGATTTTCTTATAATAGTAATACATATATAAATTTATAAAGCCGAGCTCAAAAATTAACTACCTTTAAAATATATTAAAATTTGACTTATTTACACAACAAGCGAGTAGATTTTAAGATGTCAAATATGAGTTAAATTAGACTACTTTGGTTTGTTTTATAATCCAACTCTAGAAAGGGAGCAGAAAAAAGAACTAAAAATTTTGAATATTGGAAAAGTAAAAATAAATAAATAAATTAGTAGGCTGAACCTGCAAAAGAAAATAAAAAAATATATAACAGAATGATCCAAAGCCTTCAAATTTCATGAGGAAAAATAAATAAATAAATAATAATTAGAAGCATGAATTTATCTGGTTTCCAGATATGAAGGTTTGAAATCTCTGTTTATTTTTAAAAAAATTCAAATATACATAGACTGAACCTGCAACTTTGATAAATGAGAAAATTCAATCATAATTGAAATTTAATAAAGTAATCAACAAAATTATATAAACATGATAATTACCTGTATTGCATTCAAAGTAGAATTTAGCAGAGTGGGAAGTGCCCTTGAACCAACATATACATCTCCTTCTATGGATAAATTCTCAAACCGGACTTCAACTTTTGGGATATCAATTCCAACTCTGTTATTTATTTATTTATTTTTAAAAAAACAAATCAAAAAAATTCAAAATCACTATTAAACATGTTATTGAACTTTCATAAATGGTTTGATGTCTAGTCTGATGATGATATATGCAATTTTACCTATCGGTCCGGGCTCGGAGCCTTTGAAGAAACCTTTCATTATCAGTTTCCGCAGCTTTGAGTATGCCCTCCATGAGATGTTTCTTATCTTGAATTCCAAGGTGTGCAACATCAACTTCTTCATGGACTACCCTTCCATTATCCAAAACTTGCTTCAAAATTCCTTTCCTCACTCTATCAAGGGTCGGGAGACGCTCGATGGCGGCCCACTTGAGCTCCTCCTCATCATCCTCCCTCTTGCTCCTATGGAACACGTCGGTCCCGCCAGCACTCCACACTTCCCGGAGACTGACCGAGGCCCAACTCCTCCGGCTGAGCGAACCAACACTCAACCGCCTGCTCAACGACCCCAAGTCTTCTCCCACAAATGCAGCCGCCATGTTCGGCCCACTCTAAGCGTGAAATTTCACTCTTTTCGAGTTCAAAACTTTTTCACACACTCAACAACAAGAAAAGATGTGAAATTTCACATGGAAAAAAAATGACAAAAATCTCAAATCCTCTCTGTGTTTCCAACAGAATTCAATTCATAGAGCAGTGAATTTTCAAAAGAAAAAAATGGCACATACATGCATACAGATGGATAATGATAATTAAAGAAGCTTCAATGGATAAACGATTGCGTGTAAATATATAGAGAAAGTTTAGATATAGATAGATATGTGGTGTTGTTGCCCACTTCGGTGGACAAGAAAGTTTAGATTATGTGAAGGAGTTGTTGCGAAACATGACCATTAGGTTTGAGCAATGCTAGGTAGCCTAAGAAAATTATCAAATTTTTTATTAAATATTCACATATGTGTGGGATCCACACTCATGTCAGTCTTATACTTATATAAATATTTGATAAAAAATTTAATAATTTTATGGGAGTCTCTAGCATTTTTTATTAGATTTTAGAGGAAAAGGTTTGTCCTTTTGTCTTAGAGTGTCTTCAATAGAATAGCTAAATTTGTGTGTTAAGGTAAAAATTGTATTAATTAATAAAAGTTTATGTTAAGTTTTGTTAATATAGAAAGTGAATCTTTAAAATATTTTTGGTATTAAGTTAATATATATAATTCACAACATATATATATATATATATATATGGAAGAAGCTATTGATACAATTGCCCAATCCTCCATTTCTTCTAGATGGCATGACTACTGTGTGGGCGGTACAACAATAACTGTTGTGCGGTTAATAGGGCCAATTTTAAGGTCCATTTCAATGATCCAAACTGTTCTTTTTTTAAGATACATCGAGTAGAACATACATAAAAAAAATTAAATTAAATTTATCAGATATCAATAATTTTTTCATCAAATTGCATTTGTATTTTGTTTTATACTTCAAATCACATTTGCCATTTATTTATTTTGATAAAAAGACAATTTGATGAAAAGGTTATTGATATCCAATCCATTTGATTTTTTACATACATGTTCTACTCAATATCTTTAAAATATAAAAAATTTAAATTACCAAAATAGGCCTTAAAACGAACCTCATTAATTGCACAAAAGCCAGCTAGCTTTCTTTCTTTCTTTCTTTCCTTACTATGTAAAAACAAAATAAAAATTGAAAAAGGTAATTTGCTAACTGTCTAAATAATTAACACTATTTAATGTATAGAGAGCCCATTAGAAATACTTTTAATGCATTAGTCAACGCCACCCCATTTCCCCCTTTCTTTCTGTCTTCCCTCCCCTCCTTCCCAGGTAAAAAACATAAAAATAAAATAAAATAAAATTGAAAGAAGTTAATTTGCTTACTGTCTTAATAATTGACACTATTTAATGTATAGAGAGCTCATTAAAAATACTTTTAATGCATCGTAAAATTTTTTTTTTTTTTTAAAGGTTGATCACCGTTAATTATTAAATCATGTATAACTTTTGAGACACTTGAATTTAAAACATGATAGATTGAAAGAAAATATAATTTTAAAAATTGGCCCATATGGTACACATTAAAATTTTATTTTTTAAATATCAATAAAGTTCGATATATTAATTGGAAAAAAGAGATTTAAGAGCACAAAATTCAATTCATAAGAAATGAGTGTAATGTGGCATACAGGTTCCTTTGATAATGTTTATTATAAGTTAAAAATTAATAATTAAAAATTAAATACTAAAAGCATTCATTCTTTAACTTATAGATAATCACTTAATCTTAAATTATTTAAATTAAAATAATTCAAATAAATTATACCAAACACTCTTATTATAGTTAGTAGCGAAGAGATGGAAGATATTTTGGGTTGCCACTTGTTAGTCAAATGAGCTATGAACGAGAGATACTGCAAGTTTTGTCAAACAAACAGGAAAATACTATGGTACACCTTCTATTAAAAATGTATACTATCTTAATTTTTTAATTAAATAAAAAATAATATAATTTTATAATTTTTGAGTTATAATTAAAAAAAATATCATAATTAAATATAACATGAGAAATAATTAAAAAATTTATGAATCATAATTAAAATTAATTAATTATAATTAAATAAAAAATAATATAATTAAAGATAAATATAATGCACTCGTATTATGGGCGTGTAGGTTAGAATTTCCACCAAACGAATAAGGCGCGATGAGATAGACAGTAATTAATTGATCCTGTCACTCTCTTTCTCTCTTTCTCTCTCTACTTTTTCTTAATTAGATGACAGTATAAACAGGGCAACCGCAGACATTGGTGGGTGATTAGAAACACGCTTTTGTAAATAACAATCCATCAAAAAAATAAATAAATAAATAAAATCAAGAAAATGATTTATAAAGATGATTTATTTTTTAATTAATATGTTGTGTTTTATTATATTGCATTTTTGTAAAAGGATCTCTTTGCTTCTATTTGCATGCATTTAGAATGTCTCCAATGTTGTGCTTTTTCTTTTATCAAATTTAAATTTGGTGAAATAATTCTAATTTTAATACTTTAACGATGTCATCAAATCATATCAAATTGGGGATATATTAAACTTCTCGTCAATTGGGGAAGGCTGAAGCTCTATGTCAAATTATTGTAGATAGCAGTTAAAGATGTAGAGCGAGTAGCAGCTGTAGATGACTGGCCGAATGTTCGGTCAGTTGTCCCTCCGGACGTCCACTTCCTTGCAATTTACAATAAAAATTTACATTGGCCGGTCAATTGGCCGGATGTCCTCTCGGTCGACCGGTGATTTGATGAAACTTCAAAATCCTCCATTAGAACGCTCGATATCAGATCAAGTTTTTACTTAATTTTTTTTTTCAAATTTGATGAAAAAAAAAAAAAAGTGAACGTTAGAGATGCTCTTAGTAGTTTCTTTTTAGGTTGTACATTTTTGGGTAGAGCTAAGTAAGCAAGTTTATTGGCTTATTGGCTTGTTGTCTTGTTTGGATCATATCATATCTCTATTTTTTTACACATTTTTTTATAATAAATAAAAAAGTCAACTTTTAAATCATACCCAAAATAATCATTAATAATATGTACCTTTTTTTATCATAAATAATATGTACCTGTTCAACTATTTTTCTACAACATTGTACTTCACTTTGAAAAAATTGCAAACTATGGTACACTTGAGAACAGTTGTAAAATTATTAGTTTATTTCAATTGTTTATAGTTTATTTTATTTTAAAAATTTATGTTAAACTATCTCATATAATTTTTATTTACAATTTATTAAATATAAATAGTTTAAATAAATTGAAAAACACTAATTATTTAGAAAATAGAAAAAAAAATACTTTTGACTTCAATTTCTGTTTATTAACTTTCAATTTACAATAATTTGAACCAAACACTCCTTCCTGACCCCATAATCTCGACTTTGAAAAGTTGAGTCCCAACTAGATATTCAATCCCTTCGCCCATTAAATTTTAGAGATTTGAATCCCTCCAACACTTTCTTATCCAAAGAATAGTAATGCTACAAATCGATAAAAATGCTCAAAAAAATATATCTATGGATCTCAATCATTTTAGGTGTTGCTCACATCTTATCAATTTTAAATTTACATCATATAACTTATTTTGAATAAATTTTGAGATAATTTTTCATAATTCATAACATTTATGAGTTAAAGAATCCTCTTCCAAATTCTACGGAGAGAATTATTCCTAAAAGTGTAAGCGGTTTGGTTCAGTCGGTATTGAGAATAAGTATATCACTAAACCGATCATTTCAGTTTTAATAATTGAAGAATCGATATAGACTGTGTACAATTTGTCAATCTGATGTAGAAAAGAAATTTGCACAAGATTTTAAAGTTCTTATAAAAACTTGTAAAATTTCACATTGAAAATAAACAGAGAAAGTGTACAAAAGTTGTTTTATAAATATTTTTGTCCTTAATTTTTATTCCAAAGTATATTTTATTTGTTGCTTATGATATAATACTTAAAGAATTAAAATATAAAAGTATTTGAATATAATATTCAATCAATTTGATTTGCATCGGTATAAAAAAATTTAAAACCAAAGCAATCCGTATATTTTGAAAAATAGACCAAAAACTAAAATTTCAATTAATCAATTCGATTTTATTAATTTTTCTTACCCCACTAATTCTCTCTTATCCATGTGACTATAGAGTGTTGTGGGAGTATGTGGACCCATCAAGGGTTATGTTTTACTGAATTAAATTGGTTATTTTTATAAGACTTGTGCTTAGATATATTATTCATGATAAAAAAATTAATTAATTTAATAATTATAACGGTAGCTAAATGATTTATTGTATTTATCTTTTATTCAAAAAATAAATATGATAAAATCATGTAACTATGATATTAAATTTTTAATTTTTTTTTATGATAAAATCATGTAACTATGATATTAAATTTTTAATTTTTTTTCATTAATGTTACACATAAAATCTATATATATATATATATATATAAAATATTCAGATCATGTAAATAGAAGATTAATATAACATCACGCAAACATGTACAAAACAATTATGAGGGAATTTCAAAATAGTAAAAAAAAAAAAAAAAAAAAATTACAAAAACATGTGGGGAGTAAGTAGTTTTGTGATAGGGTGCAAGTGAAATATTATAAGGGTGCAACTCCATATTTGTGTAAAATTTTTTGTTCTTCCAATGGGATGTAATTCTCCAAACAATTATTAAGAATTTAGTTACTGGCTAAATTCACATATCAATAGTGAGTTGTGAGTTCAAACTTAAACACAATACCATCAGGGGTGGTAGCCTAGTGGAGAAGACATCTCTTTCCATAAGCGTGACCCAGGTTCAATTCTTTGGAGGGGTGAATTTCACTGCTTTGCTGCTGGCTCTCTTAGGAGACCTCATCTGTACTCTTCTTGAAACTTGGGCTCATTTGGCGAGTGGTTGAGCTATGTTAGTGCCTCGTTGGTGGTTCTCTTCCTTTGGGTTGAGTTAAATCAAGCCGACAACCAGCTACCTCGAGGCCTGAGCCTACGATGCAATGATAACACGTCAGAGCTTCTTTTTTTCTCTGATCAAAAATAAAAATAAACTTAAAGACAATCACTCTGCACAAATTAATTTCAAATATTAGATTTGTTCTTAATTTATTCCCTTCATACCTTCAATATATTTTTTGGGATGGAAGGGGTTACATCGTTCTACCTTCATTCAATTGTGTGTACTTTCAATCTAGAGATATCCATGCACCACATTCAATCTGGGGGCATCCATTAGGGGTGTAAAATTGGTCTACTTGTAACCCATTCACAATCCGATGTAGCTAGGCCCAGACCCAGGCTAGAACCTAGCTTA